GAAGACAAGTCCTAGGTCAAATTTTTTTTTCTTCAAATTAAAGTATATTACATTAGCTTTAATTTAAAATATATATAAAAGTGTCAGACCTTCCGGAACATTTTCAAAAGTTAAGTTGAAAAAGTTAATTTTTTGTGAAAAAGTTGTCATTTTAAATCCCCCCCTGTGGGCAGGTTAAGTGTCAAATTTACAAAAAAAATATACCAAATGATAGGTAAAGACATCAAGCATCTATAAAAAAAAAAATTATATTCAAATGTTCATTTTTGAAAAAGTTACGGCAGTTTTTAGTAAAAAAAATTGAAAAAGTTTCGAAAATTAGCGATTTTTAAATTTGTAATTTTTTTGGAGGTTTCCCCCATTTACGGGGAACGAGGGAAATTTTTTCAATTTTGAAGGGTAATGTCTTCGACTAGATACGATTTGTGATCTTTTGACGTATCGTTGAAAGAAATCNAATTTTTTCAATTTTGAAGGGTAATGTCTTCGACTATATACGATTTGTGATCTTTTGACGTATCATTGAAAGAAATCCGTTCGGTGAGAGCTGAGAAAAAGTGGTAACAGACACAAAAAAAAAACACATCATAGTAAAACCAATACCTTCTCAGCTTCGCATCGAAGCTAATAAACCAATAAATTAAGTATATTACTATTATATAAAATAAAAAAATTTATAAGGTATAAGAAATGAACATAAAAAAATATTTCATAATTAATAAATCTAAAAATACATATTCTAAAAGAAATCATAAAAAAATTATCTAGATTATTTTTAATCGATAGGGTTATTATGAGAATTCTGTCTATAAACAAGAGTAAATTAAAGAAAAGTATTTAATAAATTAGATTTATTTTAGCAATCAGTATGAAAATGTATGAAAAATATTAAATTTATGTAGAATTTTATCAATTATTATTTTTTGGAAACTATTACAAATAAAATGAATCTATTTTAAGTTAATTTTAGAAAAAATAAATTTAAAATAGACCAGTCAATTTTTAGCTAGTGTAAAAATTCTAATATAATAAATCAAAATTATATAATTTTAACACAAATTTTTTTGTTTTATTAATGTTTATCTTATTATGTATAAATGTAGAACAGAATAAATACGTGTCTTCTGAAATTTAGTCGAGTTTTAGTCTAATGAAAAAATTTTATGCATAGTATTATATGCAACACTATTATAATGTTTTTATTAAAACTTTACGAGTTTAGTTTAGTGTTATCTTGTTTGATTTTGTATACAAAAGCATATACATGTTCAAAAATACACAGAGATATGATAGACAAGTTACTTATGTCCTCGGGATGGACAAATTTAAACGATTTGTACTGTATAAATTATTACGAAAAATTGTACTACCTTCGAAATCTGATTGAAACACCTACACAATGTAATAAATGTGATCAAAAAATACGAGCTTTGACAATATATATTGGATGTACATACGTAAAAATGTTAAATAATCTTTTATTAGCTATTTGCAGCGTTATACAAATTTGTAAAGTAAAAATTAAAGAAAAAAATGACATAATTAATGTATGCATTTTCACAGAAGATCTCTTAAAAATAATAACTGTACTAATTGTTCCAATGGCAAAATTGATGAAAGGAGCGATGGATGCTTTGGATATTTTACATATAAGACCGTTGATAACTAGTCGAAAATCTAAATACATTTTAAGTGATTCAATAGAGAGAATGGTAGATATTTTTGAGCTATTAAAGGAACAAACTCTATCTCGTGATAATATAAATACATACAATTTGACATTAGATACTATAAATTTCTTTTTTCATAGTATAATAGTGAATATAAATAAAGAAACTACACTTTATTGTAGATTTAAACCTTTTGACGAGAATCATTTATCGTATGAATGGCTTCAAGAATATGAAGCCATTCATTTCAGAGACTCAAAATTAGTATATTTCAAATTCCTAATCAGGAAAATTCAGGATTATATCAAAACAGTAGTTATAGAAAAATATTTTCAACTCGGATTTAAATTTGATCCAATCACCGAAGAAACGGTTGTACCAACACCGAATGAGCTATTTGAACTAGGTATTAAAAAAAATAAAATATTAATTAAAATATCTATATAATGTCTTATTAATATATTTATAAATTTAGAATTGGAATTTAAAGTAATAGATGAAGAGCCTTCAACTCATTAAAAGTTACAAAATAATTATTGTCTAGCATTAATGTTTTATAATTAACCACAATATTATATAATTATTAAAAACATAATTATTTTTAAATCTTTAAATGATTATTTAAACATAATTATTTTCTTTGTAGATGTTAATTATAATTTAACAAGTGGTTTATCATATATATTTATCTTATTATTTACAAATGTAAAACAGAATATATACGTGTCTTTTGATATTTCGTTGAACTATATTTTGATCAGAAAATGTTATTCCTATAAAAACATTATCAAGTTAAAACTTTTGAATGCTATTTTAATTATATCACTTTTTTTCTTAGATAAATAAAGAAAATAAAAAGTAAATATAGTAATTTTTACGGATAAATTATAAAAATAATAGAGTAATTATATATTTCTTTACTTTTAATGCGTATAAAAATTTAAAAGGCTTGATGCAAAACTTTTCAATAAATATTTTTGGTTTCTTATGAATAAATAGGGAATAAACAAGGAAATTTCATCAAAAATAAAAATTTAATTTTCTAAATCAACTTTTCGCACTGTTTTCAAATCTGCAATTAGAATTTTTCTATCACAAATTTTATGAGTATACCACTTAAGATTAATATGCAGTCAGGAAATTTTATAATTACTATTTACATAAATATTATAATATTACGTTAAAATCGCTATTTTATTGTATTACTATTCAAATAAATAACTTTAATAAAAACCATAGTAGTTATTTATATCTATAACTCTAACTTTAAAGGTAGAGTTTTGCATTTTTTTTTTGGCTGGTCTAACATAACTGAATTGAAATTTCAATGACATGTTTTTTTTACTGTGATCTAGTGAAACTAAGAGATCTTAGTCTACCAGTTAGATAAGGATATTAAAAAGATAAATTAAATTAGCCTTCCCAGATTTTTTTTATTTAGTTATCTCGATATTCGAAAACCAAAAGATTTTATTATACAATGTACATAGAAGATAGTACTTCTTAGTTTTTATTCTATGATTTGTTATTATATATAATCGAACAAATGTTTTTATTTCTACTAATTAATATTTGACGATATTTTTTCAAGACCACTTACCGTAAGAGTCTTGGATATATTATCATTCACATTGATAAAATGAGATACTTACCAATTTGAAGTAAAATTTTTAATCTATTGTGTTAAAAATCATAAAGAAATTCTTAACGCTATCTATTATTATTTAGGATTTTTTTCCTTATTATTATTATTTGGTTCTTATAAAATTTCTTACATTATCATAAATTATGTTTAATAATTTTGTTATACAGGGTGATTTTTTTATCATAACCAACTCAATTACTTACAGAATAATAATAATTAAAAAATTTTTTTTATTATTATCTTTAGTTACACATTATTCTTGAATTTTTAACTATGTAATACTTTTTAAGTTCATCCCTTATGCCTTGGAGGGGGGTCAACTTTGTTTTTTTAAATGGTAACACATATTTTTAATTTAATAAAATGTTTGAGTTTTTAATTTAATAGTAAATGGCATTTGAATTTTTAATATAACTTTATTAGCTTATTAGATATAAACATTTAAAGTTTCAAAATTTTGAGTTAATATACATGTATAATACACATGGGATTGTAAATACAGGTAGCTAATTGGATTTTTATGACATTGCTGTCTCAGTCACGGATTGTTTATTATCAATTATGACTATCAATAGATATACTTTTTGTATTGTCAGTTAGTGTATTTATAAACTCATAACAATGTACCTTACTACCATTGATAATAACAATGCTGTGTACCTGCTAATATCGATGTCATAAAAAATCAATTAGCTACCTGTATTTACAATCCCATGTGTATTATACATGTATATTAACTCAAAAATGTGAAACTTTAAATGTTTATATCTAATAAGCTAATAAAGTTATATTAAAAATTCAAATGACATTTGTTATTGAATTGAAAACTCAAACATTTTATTAAATTCAAAATATGTGTTACCATTTAAAAAAACAAAGTTGACCTCCCTCCAAGGCATAAGGGATGAACTTAAAAAGTATTACAAAGTTAAAAATTCAAGAATAATGTGTAACTAAAGATAATAATAAAAAAAAATTTTTAATTATTATTATTCTGTAAGTAATTGAGTGGGTTANTTAAAGGTAATAATAAAAAAAAAATTTTTAATTATTATTATTTTGTAGGTTATTGAGTGGGTTATGATAAAAAAATCACCCTGTATTATTCTTCTGGTAGCACCGCCTGGTCAAGTGTTACGATTATTATCTGAAAAGGATCCTAAATAGGTCAGTCCATGGCCTAGTCAGACCCATCCTAGTTTCATCTTTAATTTTGCCTGATGGTGTGTCGTTGAATTTTATTTTGTCCTAGATATTTTTGGTTATATTTAAATAATTAAAATGTTAATTATGTTCTGAATATTTCAATTGTAGAATCATTTAACACCTAATATTACATAGAAATGGTTACTACGATTTCTATTTAAATGAACTATAATGATAAAAGCGTAAATAAAAATAGTAATTTTAACGAAATTTTGAGATTTTCTCATGAGTTTACTATAAATAGTAGTTATAAAATTTCCTGGCTGAGTATTAATCTTAAAAGTACCATTTTCTAAATTTTTATAACATTTTCTATTTAATGATGAAAACGATGATATGAAACTTAAAAAATAAATTATGGTAAAAAATTTATTCTTTTTAGCTTCGATGCGAAGCTGAGAAGATATTAATTTTACTATGATGTGTTTTTTTTTATGTCTGTTGCCACTTTTTCTCAGCTCTCACTGGACCAATATTGATGAACAGTATGTCAAAAGATCTCAAATCGTATCTAGTTCAAGACATTACCCTTAAAATTTTTAAAAATTTCCCTCATTCCCCGTAAATAGGGGAATTTTCCAAGAAAATTACAATTTTTAAAATCGGTAAATTTCGTCATTTTTTCACTTTTTTTTCTTAACACTACCATAACTTTTTCAAATTTTTGCTATTTAATGATGTCAATTTCAAACTTAACTTTTTAAACGTAGTTTGAAAAATTTTGAACACTCTTTGTATAAGTAGAAATAGTTTGATTAAAAAAAAAAAAAGTATATTGAATAAAAGGAGTACATACAATAAATTCCTAAAAAAAAAATTTTTTTTTTAATTTTTTAGTTATAATCTTTTATTTCAACATTTTTTATTAAAATATTTTGTGAAATTATGAAAAATGATTAATATATATTTTTTTACATAATAAAGCTCAAAAAAGAAAATTAGATTTATTTTAATTTTTGTATTCATCTTATAAAACAATGTAGAACACATTAATTTATTATTACATTATTAAATTATTATATTGATAAAATTTAAACTAAAATAAGAACCCAGCACGTGACGTGGCATAGTTGGGTCATGTATAATGATATCTGACAGTAATTAAAATCACTATCATAAAAAACGCTTGGATACATACCTTTAGATAGTCTTTAATTTTAAAAAATTGGTGGATTAAAGAGGAATATAAATATTATTTCTCATACAAAAATTGTATTAATCCATACACATTTCAATAAGTTATAGCATTATAAAACAAATATATATATGATAGTAAAACCAATACCTTCTCAGCTTCGCATCAAAGCTAAAATAATTATGTTTTCATGTATTGTTTAAAAAATAAAAAAATGGTAGCACGTGGCATAGTCTTGACAAGTGTAGATTATATCTATAATTTAATATAATGAATAACCAGCCAAGAATATACTGTTTGTGGAAATACCTAAATTATAAATTCACAAATAATAATATCATTAACATTATCTAGAAACACTAAGTTTTATTGAATTACGAAATTACCGAATAAAACTTACTTTACTTTTTACTATTTTTAAAACTTATATACTTAAATCATAAAAAACGCTACGATGCAAATTTGTAGATAATGTTTAATTTTAACAAATTGATGGATTATTCAAAAAGCAAAATGAATTCTTATTTCCTTATTAATATCCGTATTAGTAGTTTTTTGATTTTTAAGTATAATATGTAAATAAATATTTGTGCATCTATTTAAAATCTGCTATTAAAGTTTCACATATGGACTAAATAATAACAAAATCTTTAATTAATTCAATTAAATTAATTAATTTAATTAAACTTATAAACTAGAAAATAATTAGGTTTGCATTTACATGATAATTATTTAAAAAACTATGTATAGTGAATAAAATTGCAGAGTTATATATTGTAGTAATAAAATTAAAATTAAAGAAACAATTATGGTGTAAAATTATGTATTTTACTTTCTTCTTCGTTATTTTCATCGACATTAGATTTTATTTTATACTCTTTATTTACGTCAGTAACAAGAATGTCTATAAATTCAATTAGTTGCTCATTTGTGAGTTCATATTCTGTTGGAGGAAAATATTTTTTTTTAAATAAGTCTTTATTTATTACAGATTTGAATGTATTCCAATCGTCTAGGAGTATTAACATTTTTTCACCTTTAAAATAATCAATTATTATTTGTATAATTTGATCTAAAACATCGCAAACGAATTTAGAATCTGGAAAAAAATATGGTTCTTTAGGATAATTTTTGTAATTTTTGAAATCTTCTAAGTTGTTTCTGATTTTTTCTAGGCTTTCATTTTCTACATGGTTAATCTTAAAAAAACCACACATAGTATATATTGTGGTACTAAATATTACTAGAAGTTTATCATATTTCATACGTTCAAGTATCATTTTACTATACTTGGTCAATACATATACATATTTCAATGATCGGTTTACCAAGGCTTTTTTATAATAAGAATAACACTCATTTGAACTATATTCCAAAATGATACTTTTTCTTAATTGGCGAACATTCCAATACGTCATATGAAATATTAGTTCGGTTCCTTGCATACATTTGGTTACTGTTACTAATTCATTATCCAAATATTGTAAGTTTACAACTTCATATAATTGAATTTGACCAATGTAAAACATTAGTAAAAAAATTGATAGCAAAAATATAGTTGAAGTGTTCATAATTATATCGATATTTATGTGTCTCAATTTTAATGCTTGTGATTACTTTGATTGTACTAAAAATTTCGTAAAATAATTGGATTCAACATTTAAAAGTTTTTTTCATTGACGCATATACTATATATAATTTTATTTATTTAACTGAATGAGTATTTTAGTGTTT